GGATAAACATAAACCAAATAATAATTATGAAGTATTAGACCGAGGGTCATCCAGAAAAATAAAAATGGTGAAATAGGTCAATCACACATGACGAAGATCAAATGTATCCCATAGAATCAGTCTCTAACCGCCTTTGTCTCCCATCAGCACATGGTAGCAATTAATTACATACACAGGAGGGCACCTTCTCTTGAGATATCGAACACCATGAAGGAATTCCAAACCATGATGGAAGTACTGTAAACACTGCTCCAAACATACCTTGAGTCACTTACAGAGTCAGAACAGCAAAAAAGGTACGGTATCAAGCTATAAGAGGTAAAATAATAGTTTTAACTTCCAACTGGTACGAGAGAACACGACTTCGAAGGCCACAGCGCCCCTCTTTGTGAGAGACGAGAGAATGTAACACCCCAGCCGGGAGGGAAGGGGGGGGGAAGAATGCAACCGGGAAAAAGGAACCCCTCCCTCCTTCCAGATTAATTAGTGCAAAAGTTGAAAAACTGGGAAACGCACTTGGGGGCAATTTGGAACATCTGTTTCCATTGGTGGCGGGGTGGCTTGAGGAGGGGGACAGGAACCAGTCCAGGGTGAGACTTAACAGATTGCTTAATAAATCAGAACATACACACACGTACACCGGACAAACAACTGCCCCCACAGCAAAGAGCGAAATCAAAGGAATTCCGGTCCTTTGTGAGAAGGCGGGCAGAGGGGAGAGAATTTCACATATAATCAAGGACACAGATCATGCAACTCAGTTCTGCGAGTGGCAGGCTCCAGGAATCTGCCCCCGTGACAGGCACATCGATAGGGAGCTGCATCGGCAGAAGCTACGAGTGTACGAAGTCAACGAAAACTGAGTTCTGCGAGCGGCAGGCTCCGGGAATCTGCCCCCGTGACAGGCACATCGATAGGGAGCTGCATCGGCAGTAGCCACGAGTCTACGAAGTCATCGCAAAGAGTTGTGTCTTGCTGCGGCAAGCTCCGGGGGTGGGCCCTGCATTCGACCAAGGATGGTGAGGCTTGCAGAGTAGCGATGTGTCACTGAGTACGAGTTCGGCGCTGACAGACGAAGTATCGTTCAAAGTTTTATTCTACCTTGAGTGCCAGCAGCTGCCCGATCAAGGAGAGAACAAGAGAGAAAGAGAGAGAAAGAGTGACGAGCAACGACAAGCAATCAACCTGGAGAAAGGGCGGAAAGCGCCAAGCATCGACCAAGCGAGCATCGCAGAGGACCAGCAGCAGCGAACGAGCTGTGAGCGCAATCGTGCACCGCCAGAGAGCACGGAGCAGGAGAGAGCGCGCAACCAGCGCAACCGGGCAAGAGTGTCGGCCCCGTCGACGAGCTGCGAGCGCAATCATGCATCGCCAGAGAGCACCGAGCAAGAGTGTCGGCACCAGCAACCTGCGGACGAGCGGTGAGAGCCATCGTGCATCGTCAGAGAGCACAGGGCAGGAGCGAGCGCACAACCAGCGCCACCGGGCGGGGGTGTCAGCGGCCAGCTAATGAGCTGCGAGCGCGATCGAGCACCTTCAAAGACAAGCGTCGTGCCGACTCAGCTCATCCAGTATTGAAAAGAGCCTGCAGCTGCCGCCGAGCGAGAGAAAGGGAGAGCCGTCTGTATGACATGCCCACACACACAGACTCATCGCTCAGCAGGGAACAAACGAATTTGTGGTACAAGAAACGCCCCACCTCGGTGTCTGCTTAACGCAAAGAGTTGAGCAAGGAGACAATCCACCCACACACACGTAACACATATTTGGACTAATAAGAGTACTTGTGGTGCCGCCGCAGTGGAGCAGCTCCATCGGGGGCCGTACCCACCACCGTGACGCCGCCACCGGGGAGTAACGACGCCGGCGCTGCGCGCCCTCGCCGCCCCCCCCCCCGCCGCCCCCCCCCCCCCCCGCCCGCCCCCCCCCCCCCCCGCATGAATACACGCACACCCCGCACATGCATGCCCCGCATAGGGCCCGCGGGGTGGGTCACCCGGCCAACAGGTTTTCGTCCAGAAGCCCCTAATGGGATCGAGCTTCATGGTTTCCTGCGGCCGGGGAATTGGGCGACCTACCTCCGAGGCTTACCAGCACCGCAGCGCCGTGGCCTGATATTAAAATTACATAGTCACGGCAGGAGGCTGTAAAGCCACCGCGGATGAGATCACACACACGGCACGGGGCGTGGGAACAGCGGTACACCTTTGTGATAGGTAGAATTAGGGACCCCAATAACAATGGGACAGGAGCATTCCGACATTTGAATGGACAAGGCAGCACATGGTGTGGGAACAGCAGAACGCTTTTGTTATAGGTGAGATTACGAATCCGAATGTGAAGGCGACGAGAATAACTCAGCCTCCGATTGGACAGGGCAGCACGGGTACGGAAGCATCTGAATACCTTTTTGTTATAGGTAAAATTACAGACCCGAATGTGAAAGGGACGATAATAACTCGGCCTCCGATTGGGCAAAGAGCACTACGGATAGGGTGGATACAATGCGGAGGCTTAGGGTAGCATGAGGGTTCTTCAAATCATCGCGGTCCACGGAGCAGGAGAGTCAGCCTTTCGAGACGTCCATGTGACGAGCTCCAGCATAGCCAGGCTCAACCCTCTATGGAGACAACCCACAGCCTCGTCCTTCTACAGCGTTCAGTGCAGCAGAGTGGAAGTAAGCGCGAGTGAGAGAGAAGTGAGTTTGAGTGATTTAATCGAGAGTGGAGAGCGGAGCGACAGGCAGAGTAAATTCAGTCTAGGATCCCAGGGGGAATAGGCTGCCACCCACTGACCCACACAATTACGCGTAGCTTAACGGGTTACTCGCGGTAAATAAAATCACTAGTAGGGGGATAAACTGTGTCGTGTGGTCTTTGGGAGTGTGAAGAGGAGGGCAGAGCGTGCTTGGTGTCCGCGTACCTGTACGATCGTTTACAGTAGTGTTTAGCGCCCGCGTGCCTACGCGACTATTTTCGGTGGTGTTCAGCGCGCACGTGTCTACGCGACTATTTTCGGTGGTGTCCTGCTCTCGCGTACCTGTGCAATTACTTACAATAGTGCTTAGCGCTCGCATACCTGTGTGACTGTGTTGCGGTCGTGCGCCTGCGCAATTATCTAATAGCGAGGTAGCGAGCTAAGCGCCTGGCGTGCGCGTATTCGCGCAGCTGTTTAAACGGCCCTTTAAATCGGAGCGACGTGACCCCCCTCCAATCAGCAGCCTGCACACGGCAGACGCCTCTGGCCTCCCACTCCCGACCCCCCACTACCTCGCGTGTGATTGGGGCACGGGGCTCGGCAGGTGGCAGCGTCGTGTTTGTTATTGCCTGAGCGCGTGGAGCGTGTGTGTGAGGGAATCACGCATCGGCGCGCCACACCTGTTTGTTCACGTGTGGGATGGGGTTTTACTTTGCGAGCCCGCTCACCGCCACTGAACAGCGTAGCGCGTCGTAAGCGTAGAGCAGGCGGCCGCATCGAGTGAAACATGCCTACGCGGGCAGCCGCAAAGTCGGGGGCGCAAGGGGGCGAAGATTTGGGGGTTGGTAGCCCAGACCCCGCAGAACAGCCGAGGGGTAGTGGGACGAATTTAACGGGGGAGTCGGGGGACAACGGCCCCGACAATTCGGCGATGGCGGGGGACGGTAGCCCCCACATACTCCAAGTTATTCTTGTGTTTCGCCCGTTTAGAAGTATTTTAGTCAATCTTTTTGTTAATTGCATAACTGTACCAATGAATTTATTGATGAAACTAAACATTTAGAAACATCTACGTTACGAATCTACACATTCACAGGGAGACTATTGTGTTTAAATCTTTCTTTTTATCACAGAATCTTGCCCGCGAATTTACTGAAGCCTTAACCAATTGATAAGCATTTGCTAGACAAGCAGGCACACTGCCGCACACCATTGTTCGAAGACATTTCGTTAATGGCATAATCTTACCAATGAATTCATTGAGGTCTACTTTTGCCTTAGGCATGTTTCTTTATTGCTGTTTGTATGAATATTGTCACATTGAATTTTAAGGACTCTTTCCCGTCGCCGTGTATGCTCGCTTTACTCTGAGGAATGAGGAATTGACCGATTGTTCTGTTACCCAGTTTAACAAACGTAATCATTGAGGGTTAAATGTACGGATCAATGAGGAGGACACCTCCAGGAGTACTGTGTTGACATTCCAAGCATAAGAGTTCGCATATTAGAGTGTTAAGGTTTTGTTTAGAAATTAAAATTGCTTAACACAGAAGAGTCTGAGTGGTGCCTTCCTAAGTTCATGCTTAATAATCTTAATTATAAGAACTGTATCCTGCGGAGAGATCGGAATTTTGAGACCTGACACAAACACACTAAGACATGATCAGTAAAAGTTAAAGTGGGAATCATTGTATTATCCTGATTGATAATACAACCCTAGACAACGAAGCCGAGCTTAATTAGCATAATTACATCACATTTGCATAACTTCATACAATTCATTGTATTATCCCGATTGATAATTCAACCCTAGACAACGAATCCAAGCCAAATTATCATAATATACATTAGCATAATTGCATACACATGCATAACTTAACAGTTACCCATCCTAATTAGCATAATTAGTATCTGCATAACTACATTAACATAATTCCGGAAAATTACACATTTCTCAAATTTCGTTTAATTTTTATTATTTTTATTAATTTTTCAAGACCCAATATATACAACACTGACCTGAGGCTAAAGCTGATCCAAGATTACACCTGACTTCACAGAACTTTGCTCACAAAAAAGAGGCATATTCATCACATAAAGGTAAGACAATGGTTACTAAAATGCGAGTTATGTGCTTTGATTTGTAGAAGAAGACATCAACGTTTATTAGGTTAGATGTTAATGTCAGAGATGATTGTGATGGTCGAGAAGGTGATGGTTATGACGATGGTTGTGGAGGTGGGGGGAGAGGTGGTGGCCCGTGATGCGCCAGCCCGGGCATCGCCACGCCCCCTGCCGTGACGCTCCTGGGGGGGGGGGGGCCCTTTAACTCCGAGATGATAAATAAATAAACAAACACAAGCACTGCCCAGAAACGCATTGCGAGGCGCCCCATTAACAACAGCATTACTACCATCAGCACACGGAGAACTACAGCAACACACTGTGAACTACAGCAACACACTGTGAACTACAGCAGCACACTGTGAACTACAGCAGCACACGGAGAGCGCCCAAAGAGCGGAGTCACAGCGCGCACGCACCAAGCAAAGCGAAGCATCCCATTACGATCGTCGTCACACCCCGCGACAGCACAAAACGTCGTTTCAGAATGTCCGTCGCGGCCGAGGCGGGGCCAGGAGAGAGACGAAGAATAGAGGAAAGAGGAGCCGACGGCGGCGAGGATGAGAGAGGAGACGAGGAGAAGGAGGAGGCCGAGGCCTTGTCGCCCACGGAGCGCAGGCTGCGCGCCGCGCTGAGTCCGTACGAGGCGGCGCTGCGGGCGGCCCAGGGTGTGCTCGTGTGGGAGCGGCCCGGCCGCAGCGCGGCCCTGGGGCTGGCGCTCAACGGCCTCTTCTGGTGCGTGGGGACGCGGGGAGCGGGCCGCGTGTTGTGGGGAGCGGGCCGCGAGTGGATGGGTGAGTGGATGGGTGAGTGGAGAAGTGAGTGGGGGAGTGGGTGAGGGAGTGGGTGGGTGAGAGGGACTGGGTGAGAGGCACTGGGTGAGTGAGAGGGACTGGGTGAGGGAATGGGTGGGTGGGTGAGAGGGACTGGGTGAGGGAATGGGTGGGTGGGTGAGAGGGACTGGGTGAGAGGCACTGGGTGAGTGAGAGGGACTGGGTGAGTGAGAGGGACTGGGTGAGTGAGAGGGACTGGGTGAGGGAATGGGTGGGTCAGTGAGAGGGACTGGGTGAGTGAGAGGGACTGGGTGGGTGAGGGAGTGGGTGAGTGAGGGAGTGGGTGGGAGTGGGTGGGTGAGGGAGTGGGTGGGTGAGGGAGTGGGTGGGTGAGGGAATGGGTGGGTGAGGGAATGGGTGGGTGAGGGAATGGGTGGGTGAATGAGTGGGTGGGTGAATTAGTGGGTGAGTGAGGGAGTGGATGGGTGAGGTAGTGGGTGGGTGAGTGGGTGAGGGAATGGGTGGGTGAGTGAGGGACTGGTTGAGTGAGAGGGACTGGGTGAGTGAGAGGGACTGGGTGAGTGAGAGGGAATGGGTGGGTGGGTGAGGGAATGGGTGGGTGGGTGAGGGAATGGGTGGGTGAATGAGTGGGTGAGTGTGGGAGTGGGTGAGTGAGGGACTGGGAGGGAGTGGGTGAATGAGGGAATGGGTGGGCGAGGGAGTGGGTGGGTGAGGGAGTGGCTGCGTGAGGGAGTGGGTGGGTGAGGGAGTGGGTAGGTGAGGGAATGGGTGGGTAGGTGAGGGAGTGGGTGGGTGAGGGAGTGGGTGAGGGAGTGGGTGGGTGAGGGAATGGGTGGGTGAGTGAGGGAGTGGGTTAGTGAGGGAGTGGGTGAGTGAGAGGGACTGGGTGAGTGAGAGGGACTGGGTGAGTGACGGAGTGGGTGAGGGAATGGGTGGGTAAATGAGGGAGTGAGGGAGTGGGTTAGTGAGGGAGTGGGTTAGGGAGGGAGTGGGTTAGTGAGGGAGTGGGTGAGGGAGAGGGACTGGGTGAGTGAGAGGGCCTGGGTGAGTGAGAGGGACTGGGTGAGTGAGAGGGACTGGGTGGGTGCGAGGGACTGGGTGGGTGAGGGAGTGCGTGAGGGAGTGGGTGAGTGGATGAGTGAGTGTGGGAGTGGGTGAGTGAGGGAGTGGGTGGGTGGGTGAGGGAATGGGTGGGTGGGTGAGGGAATGGGTGGGTGGGTGAGGGAGTGGGTGGGTGGGTGAGGGAATGGGTGGGTGGGTGAGGGAATGGGTGGGTGGGTGAGGGAATGGGTGGGTGGGTGTGGGAATGGGTGGGTGGGTGAGGGAATGGGTGGGTGGGTGAGGGAATGGGTGGGTGGGTGAGGGAATGGGTGGGTGGGTGAGGGAATGGGTGGGTGGGTGAGGGAATGGGTGGGTGGGTGAAGGAATGGGTGAGTGTGGAACTGGGAGGGAGTGGGTGAGTGAGGGAGTGGGTGGGTGAGGGAGTGGGTGGGTGAGGGAGTGGGTAGGTGAGGGAATGGGTGGGTAGGTGAGGGAGTGGGTGAGGGAGTGGGTGGGTGAGGGAATGGGTGGGTGAATGAGGGAGTGGGTGAGTGAGGGAGTGGGTGAGTGAGGGAGTGAGTGAGTGGGTGAGTAAATGAGTGAGTGTGGGAGTGGGTGAGTGAGGGAGTGGGTGGGTGAGGGAATGGGTGGGTGGGTGGGTGAGGGAATGGGTGGGTGAATGAGTGGGTGGGTGGGTGAATTAGTGGGTGAGTGAGGGAGTGGATGGGTGAGGTTGTGGGTGGGTGAGTGGGTGACGGAATGGGTGAGTGAGAGGGACTGGGTGAGTGAGAGGGACTGGGTGAGTGAGAGGGACTGGGTAAGTGAGAGGGACTGGGTGAGTGAGAGGGACTGGGTGAGTGAGAGGGACTGGGTGGGTGAGAGGGACTGGGTGGGTGAGTGAGAGGGACTAGGTGGGTGAGTGAGGGAGTGGTTGGGTGATGGAGTGGGTGGGTGAGGGAGTGGGTGGGTGAGGGAGTGGGTGGGTGGGTGAGGGAGTGGGTGGGTGGGTGAGGGAGTGGGTGGGTGGGTGAGGGAGTGGGTGGGTGGGTGAGGGAGTGGGTGGGTGGGTGAGGGAGTGGGTGGGTGAGGGAATGGGTGGGTGGGTGAGGGAATGGGTGGGTGGGTGAGGGAATGGGTGGGTGGGTGAGGGAATTGGTGGGTGGGTGAGGGAATGGGTGGGTGGGTGAGTGAGGGACTGGGTGAGTGAGGGACTGGGTGGGTGAGTGAGTGGGTGAGTGAGGGACTGTGTGAGTGAGGGACTGGGTGGGTGAGTGGGAGGGACTGGGTGAGTGTGAGAGTGGGTGGGTGGGTGAGGGAATGGGTGGGTGAGGGAATGGGTGGGTGGGTGAGGGAATGGGTGGGTAAGTGAGAGGGACTGGGTGGGTGAGAGGGACTGGGTGAGTGAGTCAGTGGGTGCGTGAGGGAGCGGGTGAGTGAGTGAGGGAGTGGGTGAGTGAGTGAGGGAGTTGGTGAGTGAGGGAGGAGTGAGGGAGGAGTGAGGGAGGAGTGAGGGAGGAGGTGAGTGAGGGGGTGAGTGACGGAGTGGGAGAGTGACGGAGTTGGTGAGGGAGTGGGTGAGTGGGTGAGTGAGTGAGGGAGTGCGTGAGTGAGTGAGGGAGTGCGTGAGTGTGGGAGTAAGTGATGGAGGTGTGGGTAAGGAGTGAGTGATTAGTGAGTAGTGAGTGAGCAGCTCGTGTTGAGCAGTTAGTGACGAGTGAGCGGTGTCTATGGGACCTTTTTTGCCAGTCTTTTGACGCTGTTCTCTAGTCTAACACTTGTGCTGAGAGGAGGCCACAGAGAAGAAGGCTGTCTCTATTGTCAGCCGATCAGTTTCGAAGACAATCGGAGCACGTTTGTTTTTGTTTGAATGTTTGACCACAAGCACGATGTGTGGTTTGTGCAGACTCGATGCCTTGCCATGGGTGTCCACGTGGTGTTTGAACGTCTTAACGCCTCCTGTTTTATTGACGCAAGGGTGACACTTTACTCGACTCGCGTCTCAGCAGCTTAATGCTTTACAGCCTTTTCCCTTTCTGGAGTTTATAACGGGAACGGGCATTGTGTTTTGAATAACCACTGCTACAGTGCTCCTCAAGCCCACTAGAGTGCCTGACAGCCAATTATTTTCGCATGTTGCAGCACAGAGGGAGTGTGTGTCTTTGTGGGGAGTGACCCGAGTTCGATTCCTGCTTATAACCCACATGAGTGACAATTGTGTGAATCAATCCTGGGCCTCCCCTAGGTTAACTGGTCGTCAAATGAGTACCTGGTCGAGGATGTAAACATCACAACTTGGGAGACAAAGGTGGCAGAGAGTGGTGCTGGCCACACACCCCATTGTGTACCTTGTCGGCCTTCAATGGTGCTCACTAACATAACTTACTTCAGCAGTCTGTTAATGCTATACAGGGAACCTTTGTCTTTATTTTGTGTCTTAGCCTCTGTGTGTGTGTGTAACTTTATCCAGGCCTGTGGCCCGAGTACCGAACGGCTTAAGAGTTTCTGTAAATTATGTGGGTCACAATTTGTCGCATTTCTGCTTCTCTAAGGGATTTACTCAAGGGGACGGCTTACATTGCCACGAGATTCCACAGGCAGTGGGGACCACCCAGACTTCTGCTATTATTCTCGTCCACATACACACGCTTTTACAAACAAACACGCACGCGCAGTGTACCTCTCACCCCTGCTCATGTCCCGATCCCCCTTTTTTGGATATGCACCGCTGTTGCCAGCCTAGAATCTCACCTAGATCCGGAAGAACACTGGTAGACAGAGTGGAACAACGCGGAACATCCCGAATAAGCTCCTCAAATGAGACCCAAACATCACATCTCCTTGTTGTGACGTCTCTTCGAAGAGGCCAGTGGAGCATTCAACCGCTTCAGAACATCAGCAGGCCGATGCACACTTCTCCTTCATGAATGGAAAATGAAAGACAAGCTACAGTGCGATTTGGGACATGCAACCAAAACTATGGACGACGTAGTAAACCACTGTAGTCTGCACTCCTTCAACGGAGGAGGAGCAGTAAAACTTTACAAATGATCTTGAAGCCCTCGTGGCCTGCAGACCACGGCATTTGCATTCGGCTCCTGAACATTTTGCCGTACACAAAATAGTAAAATAAAATGCGAGTAATGCAGTACAACAAATACAACACGATTTAAACACTAAACCTAAAACAACATAATCATCCAATTACTGAATTAGATAATTACAGAGGCGTTGTGCGTTACCTCCGCATGCACAGCCTCTTTTAGATGATTGACTGTAAACGGAAAGTGTGCTGGCCGGGTCGGTTCAGTTTACAGCCTGGCTTGGTTAGTCCACGAGTAATATACACACGTTGATTAAGTGGTGGTTGTAGAGAGATGCTGGATACTCGTACCTGGACAATGTGCTCATTCGTAGCTTTATTAAGCATGTAGCAGTAGCAATGTTAAACGTAGATGTCCATTGGGGTCATTTACTCACAGGATGAGGACAATTTTGTGGGTGAAAGCCAACCAGAATATTTATGTCACGGTCACAAAAAGTGGGATCAACACCATTGATGATGCATTCTTAGTTTCACACGTATCTATTTGAACATGTATTTCTTCTAGATGTATACCAAGTACTGCATCGAGGAGTCGCATACTTTAACGTTATAGACGTCATGAGCTTCCCAGCAATTTGAACAATTGAAGCAACTGGGATTGTGTACTCGAATGTAAACTTCGTGAGTAAATATCATGGGCAGAGATACGTGGATGGAAGGTCGTGATTGCAGACATCTTTGAGAAAGGACATGGCAAATGGTGGATTCTGTGGACCGGTCCCTTTGGTCAACTCGGCTTTAAATGAGTACCTACAGTGAGGGAAAAAAAGTATTTGATCTCCTGCTGATTTTGTACGTTTGCCCACTGACAAAGAAATGATCAGTCTATAATTTTAATGGTAGGTTTATTTGAACAGTGAGAGACAGAATAACAACAACAAAATCCAGAAAAGTGCATATCAAAAATGTTATAAATTGATTTGCATTTTAATGAGGGAAATAAGTATTTGACCCCCTCTCAATCAGAAAGATTTCTGGCTCCCAGGTAACGAGCTGAGATTAGGAGCACACTCTTAAAGGGAGTGCTCCTAATCTCAGCGTGTTACCTGTATAAAAGACACCTGTCCACAGAAGCAATCAATCAATCAGATTCCAAACTCTCCACTATGGCCAAGACCAAAGAGCTCTCCAAGGATGTCAGGGACAAGATTGTAGACCTACACAAGGCTGGAATGGGCTACAAGACCATTTGCTATTGGAAGAAACACAAAAGAACTGTCAATCTCCCTCGGCCTGGGGCTCCATGCAAGATCTCACCTCGTGGAGTTGCAATGATCATGAGAATGGTGAGGAATCAGCCCAGAACTACACGGGAGGATCTTGTCAATTATCTCAAGGCAGCTGGCACCATAGTCACCAAGAAAACATTTGGTAATACACATCGCCGTGAAGGACTGAAATCCTGCAGCGCTCGCAAGGTCCCCCTGCTCAAGAAAGCACATATACATGCCCATCTGAAGTTTGCCAATGAACATCTGAATGATTTAGAGGACAACTGGGTGAAAGTGTTGTGGTCAGATGAGACCAAAATGGAGCTCTTTGGCATCAACTCAACTCGCCGTGTTTGGAGGAGGAGGAATGCTGCCTATGACCCCAAGAACACCATCCCCACTGTCAAACATGGAGGTGGAAACATTATGCTTTGGGGGTGTTTTTCTGCTAAGGGGACAGGACAACTTCACCGCATCAAAGGGACGATGGACGGGGCCATGTACCGTCAAATCTTGGGTGAGAACTTCCTTCCCTCAGCCAGGGCATTGAAAATGGGTCATGGATGGGTATTTCAGCATGACAATGACCCAAAACACACAGCCAAGGCAACAAAGGAGTGGCTCAAGAAGAAGCACATTAAGGTCCTGGAGTGGCCTAGCCAGTCTCCAGACCTTAATCCCATAGAAAATCTGTGGAGGGAGCTGAAGGTTCGAGTTGCCAAACGTCAGCCTCGAAACCTTAATGACTTGGAGAAGATCTGCAAAGAGGAGTGGGACAAAATCCCTCCTGAGATGTGTGCAAACCTGGTGGCCAACTACAAGAAAGTCTGACCTCTGTGATTGCCAACAAGGGTTTTGCCATCAAGTACTAAGTCATGTTTTGCAGAGGGGTCAAATACTTATTTCCCTCATTAAAATGCAAATCAATTCATAACATGTTTGACATGCGTTTTTCTGGATGTTTTTGTTGTTATTCTGTCTCTCACTGTTCAAATAAACCTACCATTAAAATTATAGACTTATCATTGCTTTGTCAGTGGGAAAACGTACAAAATCAGCAGGGGATCAAATACTTTTTTCCCTCATTGTAATGCGGTGGGTCAACATCGGCTTTGGGGAGGTGAGAGGCACCCGGGCGTGGTGCTGGTCACCACCAGCCTTCGTGGATAATCTCCAGCAGCTCTTTACCCACCTGCATGGAAATAGCTGTTTAGGAGATCTCTCGTTACGAGTGTGTGTGTGGTACGGCATATTTTATGTATGCATTTTGTAGGTCAGCTTAACACAGGCTTTCGCGACCAGTATCCATTATAGATGTTTTTTTGGGGTTAGATCCCGTTAATATAAATGCGTTGTTAGAGTAGCCACCACCCAACACAGACAATTAGTAAGGTTTTTCACGTAAACAAAACATGCCAATTAGTTCCTAGTTCAGCACACCAGTTGTGTGTTGGAGAGTAAACCCATAACATTTACAATACGAGTTGCACATTTATATTTACGCGATCTAACCCCCCAAAAAAACCTCTGGATATATTGAATGTGTGTATGCGCTGACACTTAATCACTGATCAACTCTTACAACTGATATGCATGGCTCCATCTCGGCAGATTTGTCACAAGGAGACCATTGAATTAATCTATGGAGGGTAGTGCAGGTCATGCAGCAGTAGCAGCAGCATGCTCTAGCAAGCATTTTTATTTTTGAGTATTTCTAAACTACTCTATACGTATTCGGCTGATAATGTAACAGACACTTTTCCACCAAAAACTGAATCCATATTTTCAGTTGTTTACAGAATAAAAAAAACCTCACCAAAATTAAATTTTTTCACTACTGTATTTTATCAGACGGGACAGATTTACTTTATTATGCATATAAAGCATGAGATTAAATCCCAGAAGTCTTCCGAAAACGACACTGAACCACATTTTGGTTTTGCTAAATTATCTGAAATATTTTTTTATCCTTATAAGCCTCTTTTCCTAGGAATAAGGCTAATACAGGAATTTGTTATGACTCCTTACCCTTATAGTATTCGCTTGGTTTTTTTTTGGGATTGTATTTTTGGCGAGATCAGGGGCCGGCAACCTTCATCTCTGGAGCCACGTGCGGCTCTTTAAAGGACTGCTTTGTGACGTTATTTATTAAGGACCACCACCGTCTTTTATTCACCACAGTGCATTGCGACTCTTCAATAATTGAGTTTCTTACCGAATTCGAAAAAAATGGCTCCTCTTGTTATTTTGGTTGTCGACTTTTTGGGCTAGACAATAAATATACTGTACAGTTTATACATGTGTAATGAGATAGTGACATCTACTGGTTGGTAAAGGGTAGCACGGGTACAGGCACCATTATAAACATTATACAATCCCCAAAGGGGAAGATATCTAGGCCAAAGGGGAAGGGTAGGGCCGGCCGAAAAATTCCGAGAACCGGCTAGAAAGTTCCACGAGAGGGCGTGGCCAGAGGCGGAGCCTAGCCGCGCCTGCGGGAAGCGGAGGCGGAGGACTCGAGGTCGGTGTGTGAAGTCTTGGGTTCGGACTGCGTCGCTGCTCGCCGTCATCTCTCTCCGTCGTTCAGCCACGTGGCGGATCTCTGGCAAAGCTCCACCGCCCTCCCCGGCACGCCGTCAGCCAGCGACGAGACCGGGAGCGGAAGGGCGGAACCAGCCGTGTGATCAACCGTGTGTGTAGTCTGTAGAACATAACATCTAAATGTGCACCTGGAGAGGACGCCGATAACGTTGGCCTGTGCCGTGCCGTACGTGGAATAAAGAAGAGTACCCTCTACACGACGTGTCGTGGAAGTCGCTCATTACACAAGAACTGGGGTCCATAATCCTGCCAGGTGGCATCCATGGGGGGTTTTAATGTTTGAGTGGAGTTACATTACACGTCTAAAAGTTGGGTTGCTTGGTGATTGAGCAACATGTTTGCCACTTGGCCACTTGTCGTAGAGAGCAGTGGGTTGATGGGTCGATGCTACGAGCCACCCGTCTGCCGGGACAGCCCTTGTAGGCCACTGCTGACAGCACTTGCCCAACTGTGTGTGTGTGTGAAGGGTCGACACTACCAGCCACTCATGTGCCTGGAATGAAGGCCCTTGCCGGCCACTGCTGACAGCACTTGCCCCACTGTCTGTGTGTGTGTGAAGGTTACTATCAACCACACCTCTGAGGCTCTACCTCTTGCTGGCCATCTCTCTCTTGGCGTTGGTCTTGCTGCAAATGTGGATACATTTTAAGCACCCAGGATTCAAAGGCAAGTTGACAACAGAAACACAATAGGTTAATGCCCATTTACTGCCGTTACTCCAATTTAGCATGGAATAATACTGTTCAGATTTGTATTCCAGCTTTCCCAAATAAGCTGCTGTTTAATCTTGAAGCTAAGTTCGTAACATTAATCGGTATCAATGTATTTCAGTTGACAACATCCACATCAGTGAAAACTAATTTTCGTAACCCCAAAGGGTTGATGAAGTGACTACCATTAAACTTGATTTGAAGCTTTCGTGACTGCAGGAATTACTCTTTGGTTCTTTTGGTAAAGTCACGTAGAAAGAAAATAAATTAAATAATAGAATACGACGTTTCGATTGCAACCCAAGCACCTGTCATCAGGTAGAACTAAATTTGAGAGAGAGACAAAACACAGACACGGAGACACACAGACACACAAGCAGAGAGAAACAACACAGACACACAGAGAGAGAAACACAACATAGACACACAGAGACCCAATGCCTCTGTGTCGAGGCATTGGGCCGCACCCCCCTCCCTCTCTATTTAAAGTCTTGACACAGAGGCATTGGGTCTCTGTGTGTTGATGTGCGTCTCTCTCTGTGTGAATCTGTCTGTTTCCGTGTCTGTGTTTTGTCTCTCTCAAATTTTAGTTCTACCTGATGGCGGTTGCTTGTTTTGCAATCGAAACGTCGTATTCTATTATTTAATGTATTTTCTATCTACGTGACTTTACCGAAAGAACCAAAGAGTGACTACCATTATTTAAAGTCAACAGTGGTTGTCCTATGCTGAAACGTGTGTGCACGTACGCATGCACGCGGTACATAATGCTGTAATCGTCTAACTTATACCACACCTCACTAAATCTAGAGATTATTTCACAAGCTTCCCCCCCTCCCCCTCTTTGAATGTTTGATTGATTTTTTTTCGGGAAGAGTTTTTCATGTCGGAGAAAACTGAAGCGTGTACCTAGAGCAGTGATGGGCCACCTAGACTAGCTAAGGGCCACACGAGCGGCCCTCTCTCACCTCAGTAGGCTGCAAGCTTGACATCGCGCTTGTGCACTTGTGGTGTTTATAATGACGAATAAACTGCTTATGTGGCACACTCTGTTTATTGTCTTTCTCCTCTGACACAGTCCCTAACTCACAAAGGGGTATACGGTCCCCTCACCCGATACCCTAAGAAGGTACAGCCTCTGGACTAAGCGGGACCTACACACAGGTCTCTTTGCTAACCTAAGGAGGTACAGCCTCCTGTCTTGGCGGGACTTACTCTCGAGTCTACCGCTATCCTAGAGTCCTCCGGCTGGAACCTAGGGGAGGCTATCTGACCCACCGCTGGCCCGGTGGGTCTTGACCACTGGTTATGCCGAGCCTTAGCCCTCAGAAGGGCTGGAAGGCCGGGTCCAGGGTCCTGTCTATCTTCAGCCCGGGCTTTGGTCTTCGTGCGGGGAGAGAACTCCCTGCGCTCTGCACGCTTACCCTTCTTATACCTGTTTGTGGCCAGGTCTAACCAATCCCACATTCCCACGTGGAACTGTCTGATTGGTTCTTACCAAACTGTGGCTACGATCCACTTTACCTTGTCTGATCCCAACCGTTATTCACACAGAGAGGTAATGCTGCACTGCCCCTTTGATACCTAGTGGCAATGCAGGTTACCTAACAGTGAGTAGTTAGCACCTCTACACACTCATTGTGACCGCACGCATCGCCCCTAGTCACACCGAGACCAGGCCACCACTAGGAGGGGCTCCATGGGACCCAGATCGCTCACCACTGGTGTAGTGTATAGCACAGTGTAAAGTGCGTATAGTGTGCAGTGTATGGTGTCCTGTATAGTGTAGTGTCTAGTGTAGAGCAGTGATGGGCAGCCTAGACTAGTCATAGGGCCACACATGCAGCCCTCCCTCACCTCAGTGGGCCGCAAGCTTGATACCGTGCCTGTGCACTCATCATGATCCTATCACCCCTAGACACACCGAGACCAGGCCACCACCAGGCGGGGCTCCACGGGACCACTGCCCTGGAGGGGTTGGGGCAGCACAGTGGCAACGCTCGTGCCTCACGTCAAAAATTTCCTAGGTTCGATTCTTGGCTTGGGCACCTATCTGGTGTGGAACTTGTATGTTACCCCCCTTTTTCTATACTGCATGGTTCTCCCAGTTTCCCCCCTGTAACTAAAAACAAACATACAATGTCAATCTCGATTTAAATGAGAAAAATTACCCACAAATTACTTGCAAAGAAATCATTGCCTGCTAACTAGCAAACTAATACTCATCGCCAAGCCTGGTGTTGAGTTACCTTGTATGTATGTTGAACTTCTTTCGCACTGTACATAGCCAGTCGGGGATTTGCCATCTTAGACGTTTTGTGATGTTACAGAGCCCAATATAATGCGAGTTCAATCGCATTTCCAACACGAGCGAACTCCGGTCATTCTCATAGCAGCTTTTGGCTAGCCATCAAACAAAGTTGGTCACCGCATCATGCGCTTTTGGATGCACTTCTGCGGCCGTCTGGAACACTTCCGATATTAGGAAGCCACTGGAGCTATGCACTCTTAAATCATCTAGATTGAAAACTATTTTTTAAACCGCTTTTTGTGTTAAATTTGTTTTCCTTCCCCCGCACCTCCGATTAGCACGGTTGGTTACGTACGGTGTGAAATAAGTTCAACATACATTTTAAACTAAACTATTTTTGATTTTACCAGGTATAGCCTACTGAGCTATATGGCTCTCTTTCAGACGCAACCTGGCCACAAATGTTAGCCCAATGAAGTGGCTTAACATCATGTGGAAGTTTATAGCAGTCAAATACTCTAATGGCATGTTTGTAAATGTGGAGAGAAAAACCGGAGGACCTGGAGAAAAATCCACACAAGCACAGGGAGAACAAACATGCAAACTTCAAATATGCAACAGGCGTAAGGTTTCTGATCGAACCTACGACCTCCTGTATACCAGGCAAGGTATTTAACATCTCTCCAATTACAAATGCAAGCCTCCGCCCACTGCTTGAATACATAGGATTATACAACATCGCTCAAAGTTGTATTAACGTGAACGCACGCTTCATGAAGCATGTGCTAGCAGAGTGGGGGGGGGGGATTTGTGTCGAGATCCAAACGTGGTGATGTCGTTTAACGGCAGGTCGGGACACATAGGGCATCCGAGGCTGGAGTTTGGCTCTGCGTTGTTTATGGGAAGTTGACACTGTTAGGGTTCGGTTAAATTTGTTAATGTGTGATCTCCAAGGCTGTTAAACGATATGGTTGTGGTCTAAATTCACCCGCCGAATTTTTGTTTGACGGGGGACTACACGTTCCAGAATAAGCCCTGCTTGTTATTGAGTCTCTTTGTGTAGGGATCCACTACTCCATATCAGTATCCATGTAAATTTAGCAGAGTAACCATAGTCACATTCCAGGTTTTTTTAAATCTTTCTGGAAATACATTGTAATTTATTTCAATCCTTCGTCAGTCCAATCCTGGATGAAGGACACGCCACACCTTGTCAGTCATGCAGTTTTTTTTACCATCTTTTACCATGCTGGTCAGTGCTACTTGGTGAAGTGGGTTCCAGGACAGGTGCAGATGTCACTGCATTCGTGTTCGCTGGAACTAAGAGTCACTCGGGTTGCCAGGTCCATAGCATGTTAACTGTCGCTCCCCGCAATTGTAGGTAGTATACAGTAGTCTCTCGGTTAACGTTTTTAATCTGTTTCATGAAAACTATTGTTCACCGAAATAACTGTTAATCGAATTCACTTATAAGTTTAAACATAAGTAAAAATGACTGAATCTGCAAGAGAGCCGTTTCCACTGCCAAAACAGAAACCGTAATGTAAACAAAGCCAGTCAAGGTCTAAACGCTCAAAGGTGGCTGTCGCTGATTGGCTAAAGGTGTGGGTCAGCCCCACTTATGAGTGCTCGGATTGGCTGAAATTGGCGTTGTCGTGCATAACGTAAACATTAACGTTAATCACAAAGTAAACGTTAGTCGAAGCCATGGGGTCTCTATGGGAGGCGAAACGTTAACCGCAAAACCCTAAACTGATCAAACTGTTAACCGAGGGACTACTGTCCAATATACATGTGGGAAATCTTGACTTAAAGCTTTCGTGACTGCAGGAATTCATATTCTTTGGGTCTTTCGATAAAGTCACATTGATAGGTTCAAAGAAAATAACAAAAAACTACGACATTCCGATCGCAACACAAGCGGCGGTCATCAGGAAAAAGGGGTTAGCCTCTAAAGGCAAACTGTTTATAAAGGTTTTAAATGGGCATAGCCCAAGTGTCATCAGCATTGGCGGGGCAGCTAATGTTAATGCAAGTGATGGTACTCGTAGAGGGCAACCACGGCGCTGGTGGTGGGTTTCCACCATTAAAGGGCTGCCAAATAATCATTGCACCTTGCTTTACACACCCACACTGTTGACAGTGGAGATTGCTGCTAGAGGTGATGGTACTAGAGGGCCACGACGGCACTGGTAGTGGGCTTCCACCAATAAAGAGCTGCCGGGTCTAAAATGGAAACAGCCAGTTATGACTTAAACTGGTTGGAAATCTGAAACAGAGTAGGACCAATACCTCGCCGTGGCTGATCATTGTTTTAATGTGGTGGGCTCATACTAAATTGATTTCTCTAAGACGAAGGTAATTTGCAAACCCACTGGCTATCAACAAAGATTCGTTCATGAAGTCATCCATATATACAGACATAGACACAATTTCAACCGAGAAGATGGGTACAAACTCAGCAATCACTGGAAGGATGTTATCAACCAGTTTAAGTCATAACTGGTTATAATGTTTTAATTTTAGACCTGGCAGCCCTTTAATTGGTGGAAGCCCACCATTGGGACCATCACTGCCCACTACTACCATTACCACTCGCAGTAGTCCTTTATTGGTGGAAGCCCACTCCCAGTGCTGTCGTGGCCCTCTACGAGTACCATCACCTCTAGCAGCAACCTCCACCGTCACCAGTGTGAGTGTGTAAAGAGAAGTGCAATGATTACTTGGCAGCCCTTTAATGGTGGAAACCCACCACCAGTGCCGTGGTTGCTCTCTACGAGTACCATCACTTACATTAACATTAGCTGCCCCGCCCATGCTGATGACACTTGGGCTACACCCATTTCAAACCTTTCTAAACAGTTTGCCTTTAGAGGCTAATGCCCTTTTCCTGATGACGACCGCTTGTGTTGTGATCGAAACGTTGTAGTTTTTGTTCTTTTCTTTGAACCTATCTACGTGACTTTACCGAAAGACCCAAAGAATATACATGTCGGATATGAACTCTGACTCGGAAACACATTTACACTTGTAAATGACGTTACAGGGTCACTACCCCCCTTTGCCAGCACTATGCTCTGGTAATTACCCTGAACGTTGCTGGGTGGCAGCAGGAGCCAAATGACTGAGCCACACACATTGGCTCAATAACCTACAGCGCTGATGATCAGGTGCACCAGCCACTCTACGTCATTGTTAAGATAATATTCAACTGAAGTTATTATTTTTTTGTTTCAGATCAGTGGACGGATACCAGTGACACTGAAGGGTATGTATGATGTTAAATGTGCTGCGTATATTCACAAGATTGGTTCAGAGACTGGGGTTGAAAGTTGGCCTGGCCATGGGGAGCTTGTTATGAGCGTGAGTACGTGTTGCATCTGTTGTTGAGATTTGCCTAATGCTGTTATGACATCTAAACAGAATTAAGTCACGTTTTACCCCAGAAACTCTGGCAAACAATAGAGCCACACATAATTTTTTGAAAGGACCTGGAATTGACGTCATAGAGCAGATTTCATTTGAGGTTTCGTCTTTCATAACCACTCGGATGCACGGACCGGGAAGTGGTTCACCCTCTGTATTACTGCTGAATATGTTCTCTGAGTGTAAAACCACTTGTTATCAATTTATTTGCATTCATCTTATTTAAATCTGGATTGAAAACTAATTTCTTTAGAACTGCTTTTTGTATTTAGTTTGTTCTTCCCCTGCACCTCCGATTAGCACGGTTGGCTATGGAGGGTGAAAAATAAGTTAAACTTGCATACATAGACTTACACAGAGACCCATAGACTCACACAGAGACCCATAGTTTGCTGTCCTTCCCACGCACCTCCAATGAGCATTGTTGGCTATGTACAGTGCGAAAGAAGTTCAACATACATACATTCACACGGAGTCTAAATACTTTTTCAATAGGGTCCTGCCAAATTTTCGGAGTGAGTAACCTGCAGGTAATTTTTCAGCCTCAGGATGCTTGGCCATGTGTTTTTTTTTTAGCTATGAGAGGAAACCGGAGAACCCCGAGGAAACCCATATAGAACAGGGGGAGAGCATACAAACTCCACACACAACCGTGGCCCCACACACAACCGAGGCCCCATACACAACCGAGGCCCTACATGCTGTGAGGCACAAGTGTTGGCACTGTGCCACCCTACCACCCAGATTTGTACGACTAATTTATGGTCAGGCTGTGACAACCTTACTATGCGTGAAACTGTACATCATTCAGAAGCCCATAATTTTAATCTTGGATGTCCACTGTCATTTCAGTATGGTAATCCAATAGTCCTGCAGCCACCTCATTTATGCGCAGCCCTGATGTATACCCAGCCCTGATGTATACCCAGCCCTGATGTATACCCAGCCCTGATCTATGCCCAGCCCTCTTCATTTTAAGTGAAAACCAAATCCTGCCAGCTGCTTTTGTAATCTATTGCCTGAGGGTTGTAATTTATAACAATGATTTACAGTCCTATGTCAAAACATTGTTAATTAAGGCATGCTCATGCCATGTTGTTTGCGGTTGTTGTTTGAACATACTTCAGTGCAGATTGTTGAGGGTGGAGAGGTGGAGTGCCCGGCACCAGTTTAGATATCACTCGTCACTGGTGTTAACTGTGGCTCTTTGCACAATTTTCTAACCGATGCACCACCACTCCACCCAGTTGTAATTATGTACGTATGTTGAACTTCCTTTGTACCGTACGTGGCCAACCTTACCACAAAAAGTCACAGCAACGTGGTGTTAAAAATACGAGTCCCTTTCACGAGCGTGGTGTTAAAAATACGAGTCCCTTTCATGAGCGACCCTGTGTATGCGTTTTTAACAATACAGTAACGTCAGGAACACCGTTGATGTGACGTCAACATTAAGAGCCTTAGCATCAGATTATGGGGCATTACAAGAGATCTGCTAAATCTGTCGATGGCGACTTAAACGCCCAGCGCAAACTTTTCCGGTTGCATGTTAGACGTGATGGCATACGCTGGTGGCACCCATGGCACGTTTGGCATCTGTGGGTTGCTCGCAGCCCCGGCCAAATCTGTAGCCACTATGCCACGTGCTGAAATAATAATCCGTACATCCCATTGTGTGTTCTCTAGTGGGGAGCGGTGGTGTAGCGGTTAATCCACTGCGCTATGAAACCAGAACTCGAGTTTGATTCCCCTTCACGGCCAACACCAGTGAGCATTATCTCAACTACTTCCGGGCCTCCCCTAGGTCGACTCGGCCTCAAATGAGTACCTGGTGCTGTGTGTAAACATTGCCACTAGGGAGACAAAGGCGGCCGGGCGTGGTGTTGGCCAACCACCCCCTCGTGTGCCGTGCCGGTCTTCACAGGTGCTCGCTCATTTAGAGAGTCTTTTCTGAATGAAATTATGACTATTAATTTAATAAACACAGTTTGCTGTAATGGTCAGTTTAGAAATTTACACACTTTTGCTATGATCCGTATCAGCAACAAAATGAGATGTGTGTACTGTGAATATCCCTGATCATTATTTCAAATAGGAAAATGAGGCCAACTAAAAGTTCCACACACATTTGCATAGGACAGATATGCATTTGAATACAACAACCAGTTATTCAGGGAGATTAAGGAAGACAGATCTCCATGCAATGTAGAATATAGAAGTTTTTAGGCTACATGTATGCCGGTATTTGAAATACACACTGAGTGAAGGGGTAAAGGAAGGTTTTGCTATGAGATTAAGAGTTGTACTGGAACACCTTTAGGTTTTGACCCTGTCCAGCTAAGGTTGAAGGCATAGATCTGTCTGTGTCTGTCAGTCTGTCTGTCTGTAATGATAGTAGCTCTCGTAAAGGTGATGCAATACACTTTTTGTCAGCATCAAGTTGTTTTACTATGAAGGGGCTTGCCCAATTTTAAACTGCCCAAATTTGCCCATTTTATTTTACACACTTAAACTAAACTACTAAACTATTTGTTATTTTACCAAGTAAAGGCTCACTGAGCTGCGATATAGCTGTCTTATATCAGCGACCTGGCTATTAAAAATGATCGCTCGACAAAGTGGCTTATCATCATGTGGAAATTAATAGCAGCAAAATACTATAAATGCATATTTATAAATGTGGAGGGAAAAACCGGAGGACCCGGAGAAAAATCCACTTGACCACAGGGCGAACATGCAACCTTTAAATATACTGGCGTCAGGGTCGGGTTTGAACTCACGACCTCCTGTATAACAGGCGAGGTAGTTAACATTTCGTCACCGTGGCACCCCTTAAAGGTGCCACCAACATTGCACTTACCATTACACCTGGGGAGTAACGCTGCATCGATTTCAATAATTTATAGCACTCATGTGTAAGTGCATTGAATAGCACGTGGAAGAATCAATGATGTTTTATTCATTTACCCTGTGTGTGCTGGGCGTTGTGTGATCTCTGCTGCCACAAGGGGTCACTGCATTCACAATAATCCATAATATAGTTTTTGGGTTAGATCGCGTAAATATATAAATGTCGTTAAAACGCACCACCACTCGACAGCCAACTAGTAAAGGTTGTCACGTAAACAGAACATGCCAATTCGTCACTAGTACAGCACACCGGTGTGTTGGAGAGCCAAGCCACAACATTTACAAACTGAGTACGACGTTTTGCCAGTAATTATAACTAGCTTCATCAGGCGACAACCAGATTTATGGAGAAGTCTTATGGTTTCGTTCCTTATCTAGAGGCGTAGATGTGTTGACCACCCTTCTGTGCTCTTGCCCACTGATGGGGGGGGGATTACTGAGGCAATGTACATTATGCATGTGCATTATGCGAGCTGCCCTTTGTAGGCATGCATTTAAATAATTTATTATTTTATGATTCGCTTCCACGGAGCACTAAGACGGTAGCTATCCGAACGACACTCAATTGATTTTTATAATGTTGAAGTTTCGTGCAAAACTAGCTGCTACTGGCCAAGACTAATTAGAGGATCTATCGAAATTGAAAGAAATCAAAATAACTTTAACTAAATTTTGATTTAAAGCTTTCATGACTGCAGTAATTCATATTCTTAGTTTTTTCGGTAAAGTCACGTTGAAGAGAAACAACAAAATAATAAAATATACGCAATGTTTTATATATTTATATATATTATTTTTATTTTTATATTTATTATTATTTTGTTGTTTCTCTTCAACGTGACTTTACCGAAAAAACTAAGAATATAACTTTAACTAACCCAAAAACCTCTATTATGGATGATATTGGTCGCGAAAGCCTACACTCGTGTCTCACATCAAGAGAACGCAGGGTTTGATACCCAACTCGGGTACAGTTCTGCGTGCAGTTTTTTATGTTCTCCCCCTGTTTGCCATGAAATGTATTTGGGTGCAATAATTTGTTTCCCACCGCTAAAGAGAAAACACACGCAATAAACTAACCAAAACTATTGTTCTTTTACCAGGTAAGGCCCACTGAGCTATATATCTCGTTTTCAGTAGCGACCTGGCCACAAATGAGCACTCAAAAATTGGCTCATGTGGAAATGTATAGTAGCCAAATACTGTGTTACTAAATGTGGAGGGAAAAACCGGAATACCCAGAGAAAAATCCACATGACCACAGGGAGAACATGCAAACTCTAAATATACAGCAGTCATCAGGCTCGAGATTGAATCCGCAACCTCCTGTATACCAGGTGTGGTAGTTAACATCCGGCGACCGTGGCACCCCAATGTAACTGATAGTGGCCAAACATCCCAATGCCGAAATTTACATGAAAATGACTCGATTGAGATGGTACAGGATCCTCCTGATTTCCTAAACAAAATCGCATCATGGTGGAGCGTGTTAATGGTTGCAGGCCATGTGCAGGGATTGTTGTTGTTGATGGTTACTGCTGCTGCTGTGTGTGTCCTGGACGCTCTGCAGCTGGGCGGGGGCACAGCCCAAGCTGCTGAGCCTCCCGGAGCTGTGCCGCAGCCTGGCCGAGTGCTGGGAGAGCCTCACAGCCTATTGCGTCGACCTTGCGCTCTACCGAGCCCAGCACCCCGACCGGGTGGGCACACGGCACACACGCACATAGAACTCCGTGTTTAATTGTACGCATGGTCAGTGTTATAAAATGTGTAACGGTTCAACAAAAAACGAAAGCATTGTTAAACTAATTTATAAAAATAACTATTGTTCATTTGCATGTGACACTGTAATAATTTCTGTGTAGTAAATAAAATAGAACACTTACCTTGAGTGGAATGGTTCACTGTCATTGTGCACCACATGCAATGCTGAGAATCATTACGTCTCGCGGAGGATCGCTCCACCAAACAAAATTGTGCCACGGTTCGGTTCATAAGTACGACCGGACGTTGCAAGTCGGATGGTTGAATATAATAACATCTTATTGCGGGTTCGTTCGTAAGTGCGGATATTCGTAAGTATGGATGTTCGTATCTCGGGGACTGCCTGTATCTGGAAACCCCAGTCCTTCACACGGCATAGCCGGTTCTTGGCTCCTCCCTTCAAGGAATTCACGGAGTACACGTGGTGCAAAGTGGGATACGTCCATCACATGTCAGAGGAACATCTCGCAGCAGTTCAGTGTTGCTTCGAATGGACTTGTTTAAAACAGGATATCTTTTGCTCTTGCATGGTCATTTTAATGTATGTGTAGCAGTTCGAATATCACTTACCACTGATGCTAGCCGTGACTGGGAATCAAACTTCAGCTTGCTGGTAAAATACTCACTCGACATTGTGGACACGGCATGCATGACACGGACAGGCCCTCTGATTGGTACTTAACAGGCTTGAAAGGCAATTGGTTAGAGGCAGGGAATTGAAGGGAATTGGAGGAAAAATACAAAATGTAAAAAGTGGGAAACAGAAATGATTAACAGGGTAGATGGTTGGAATCTGTTAGGAAAAGTGGAAGGTGATTGGCTGGTTGGAAAACGGAAGATCAAGGAACCTTCAGGAAATGGGCTTTAGGGATATATAAAGGGGAAGCGAAGAGAGTTCAGGACGCTTGGAGTGGAGGGAATCCTTGAAGACCGCGTGCGTCTCATGCTGGAAGAAATAAAGACTCATTATTGAAGATTACTGTGTTGGATGTCACTACATATGTAATATGGATGTATGTATGTTGAACTTCTTTAGCACTGTACGTAACCAACCGTGCTAATCAAAGGTGTGGGGGAAGGCCAAAAAGCAGTTCTAAAAAATGAGTTGTCAATCTAGATGATGATTTAAAAATGCGCAGCTAGAGTGGCTACCTAATATTGGAAGGAAGGGCGTTCCAGACGGCTGCAGAAGCTCATCTGGAATCATGCGATGCCAGTGACTGTCTTTGTTCGATGGCTAGCCAAAAGCCACTGCGAGAATGGCCGGATTTTAAGTGATGGTTTATGCTCTGTGACCAGATCAGCGAGGTATTGTGGTTCATTTGTGGCAAGCACTTGTGTGTAATGAGTACGACCTTACAATGTATTCTGCAACCGGTAGCCAATGCAGCGAGCACTGGACGGACACAGTCGAACTTTGCATGTAGTTTTTACAGAGGAGACTAGTGCTTGCTTTTTTGCAGGAAAGGCACAACTTAGGCCCCGAGAGTTTCTACGGGGATGTGTCTCGCTTCACGGGCGAGATGCATTCCACCAAAATTGCTCAGGGGAAGCAAAAACCTGTAAACCGATCGTCGTTTTCCCATCAACTCCCTCCTATATTAAAGACTGGCACTACATTTCAGCCCCGAAATTTCCCACTGTTGAACAATTTATTTCACGTGTTAAATACAAATAATATTTTGTATTAAGTCATTAAACATCAAATGTAGCACTTGTCACACGTGAAGAACCACAGTGCAGGATCCCTCCTGTACAGTCTTAACGGACTGTTGGGGCAAGTGCAGTTAGCGAGCACCTGTGAAGGCCGGCACGGCACTCAAGGGGGTGGGTGACCAGCACCACGCACGGCTGCCTTTGTCTCCCTCGTGGTGATGTTTACACACAGCATCAGGTACTCATTTGAGTTGACTTAGGGGGAGGCCCAACACTGGATCAGATAATAGTCGGTGGTGTCGACAGTGGGCGGGAATCGAACTGGGGTTACCGGGTTCGTATCGCCATGCACTAACCATTATACCACCACTCCCTACACCTTGCCACACCTCCCCCCACTTACCCAGCCACTCACCCATTATAGTGCTACCATGAGGCTCTCCTCCCCCACACGGCCAATCTCGTGGGCACACAGCACAGCTGGTTAACAAACAGCCTCGGCCCTGCCGTGTGCACCCTGCTGCGACTGGACGCATATTTATGATCGGTCTCCCGCTCGCCAAGTGAACATTTTGCTTGTTTTGCAAACAAATTTGCTCTAAATTCGCATTTTCTCGTCGTAGTGAATTCTCGTAGAAAGAGTGCTTGGTTGAGCAAGACGTGCCTGCATTATTTTTGCGTGTGGGAGCTGATCGGTTCACTTGGAAAACACCCGAGAGGTATTACACTACAGAGTGGACAATTGCGGTAATCAAAACGCTTGACCGATATTTACCTTGCATTTTTGTCATTGCAGTTCTGTGCCCGCGTGTGTGTCTGCTGCCTGGGATTTGCCATCGTGGGCCACTACATCCCGGGCATCATGATTGCGTACATCATCGGTGAGACCCTCGCAATCCCACAGTGGCCACATGCAAAACAGATGATGCCGAGGTACAGATGGGCACACTGCCCAGCATTATCATGTGTTCTCTTGTCCTTCTTATCTTGCATTCCTACATTCCTCTGTCTTCTCTTCACATAAAAAATATACATTTTGCTGTCTTCTCTATGTCACCTCTCTGGTGTCTGTGTGAATGTCACCCTCTCCCTCTGGTGCCTGTGTTCATGACTCAGGCACCGTTCTGCGTGGAGTTTGTATGTGCTCTCTGTGCTGTGTGGGTTTCCTCCAGGTTCCGTGGTTTCCTCCCACAGCTAAAACCACACACAGTGTAACTGGTACTGGCCAAATGTCACATATGCTGAAAAATTACCTGCAGATGACTCAATTGGGATTACACACAGCTGTAAAATCTTATCCTTTTGCGAAAAAAAGTTGGCAGGCCCTCCTGTAAGATTTCTGAGACTCGGTGAGCCTTTCCTGGGTAAACAACTACCTCGCCTGGTATGCAGGAGGGTCGTGAGTTTGATCCCAACTGATGCCTTTATATTTGGAGTTTGCATGTTGTTCCCATGGTCACGTGGATGTTTCTCTGGGTCCTCCGGTTTTTTCCTCCGGAATTAGAAGCAACCTGGGTTTAGAGAAGTTGGCTGCTGTAAATTTCGTCATGATAAACCAATCAATTGGGCTGTCATTTGTGGCCCACTTGCTTCTGAAAAAGAGCCATATAGCTCCATGGGCCTTATCTGGTAAAATAAAAAAATAGTTTAGTTTAATAGTTTCTTCGAGTGATCGTGAATCTGGATGATGCAAGGCACGAGCCAAGGATCTTAGCTTCATGCTCCGATGCAGCGGCCCTTTGGGCCGCACAACCACAATGTAAACATTTCTTTCAGTTGCATAACGAACGTACGAATGGTCGGCGCAGGCACGTTGCGAGACCCCCTTGGGCTGCCCCCGCCAGCAGGTGACACGTTGTGTGACATGTTGTGTGACGTGTGTGCAGTGGCGAGCGTGCTGCTGTGGCCGCTGGTGGTCTACCACGAGCTCATACAGAAGATGTACAACCGGATCGAGCCTGTGCTTATGAAGCTGGACTACAGCATGCGTGGGGGCATGCTGGGCCGCGGCCACGAGCAGCATCGTGAGTTTCGCTTCTCTCTCCGCCGGCCGCCTGAGTCGCATAGCTGTGCCCTCACATGGTGCTTCAAGGACCAGCCACTCCTTTGTGCGTTCCTGTGTTTTGGCACAGTGGTAACACTCCTACCTTACAGCAAGAAGCATCTGGCTTCGATTGACCACCACGGGCACCTTTCTGTGTGAAGTTTGTTCTCGCCCTGTTTTGCAGGGCCTGGTAGGCAGGAGGTCATGGGTTTGATCCCGACCCTGATGCCTGTATATTTGGAATTTGCATATTCTCCCATGGAATTTTGTTCGGGTCCTCTGGGTTTTCACCTTCACATTTAGAATCAACTTGTTTAGTAGTATTTGGCTGCTATAAGTTTCCACATGATAATAAGCCACTTTGTTTAGCTATCATTTGTGGTCAGGTCACTTCTGAAAAAGAGATACATAGCTAAATGGGGCCTTACTTGGCCAAAAATACAAACATAGTTTAGTTATTAGTTTAGTATTCTTTGGGTCTTTCGGTAAATCCACGTAGACAGAAAAAATAACAAAAAATATCGACGTTTCGATCGCAACACAAGCGGTCGTCTTTAGGAAAAGGGGGGTTAGCTTCTAAAGACAACTGCTTATAAAGGTTTGAAATGGGCATAGCCCAAATGTCAGCAGCCAATTCCAATGCAAGTGCTGGGCAGCGACCGCGGCGGTGGTGGGCTTTCCACCAATCAGAGGGCTGCCAGGCAAAAATTAGCATGTCAATGCAGGATCGTCGAGCCTTCTGCACGGTGAGTGCTGTTGTATATGGCCCTTTTTCCACAAGTAATATCAACAAGAATATTTGCCGATATTTTTTTAAAGAGAAATAATTAATGAAAACACGCAAGTGCAGCAAACACAGATGGAAATTGTCAAAAGGCCATAAATATAAAATAAATAATAAACTCCCGGGCCAGAGAAGTGTTTTGGCTATCGAAGAATTGCCAGATTGCCAAGAGACGATTTACCATGACCTGCTGACATAATTTTGACAGTTCACAAACATGCCCAGGGTCAGAGGGCACAGACCGAGCACTGGGCAAGCAAACAGCAGGATTGACATAATGTGAGAGAAGAATCAACTGATACGTATGACGCACACTGCCCCCCACCCCACGACAAACCAGGCGGCTGCTTGACGCAAATAATCAATTCCGAACACTGACTACTCAACACAATCCATATCCCTCACCCATACACGAGTCAGGAACAAAAGCCTAATCCTCAAAACGTGAACCATCAGTGGCCGTGAAAGCATCGCGACAGATGGGTGATAACAGTCCGTCGTTTATAAGTACATTAATAATATTTCTTCCTTAAATCTTTTGTCTTGGGTTGTACTTCCAATCGCATAAATTACCAACATCCATAAATACGAATTAATCCTTGACACTTTCACCACGGAGCTACGCTCACGGGGGGGGGGGGGGGGGGGGGGATAGCGTGTCCAACCAGGTTTCCTTATCAGGCAACTTGGTCCACAATTAATTAAAAGTTGGCCCAAGATAAGGATCTCAGGGGAAAGCGCGCACCCCATCGCACACCCTCACCCCAAGCCATTTCTGTAATCATATAATCTTGCCGATGGATCTATTGATATATTTGTGCCTTTAGGAATAATAATTTTTCGATTGCTTTTCATATGAATACCGTCGCATAATATGAAGGACTTTATTAAGATTTTCCATGTGCTCGTATTACACTGCATAAGAATTAATTGCTCTGATATCCAAAGTGAAACAACATGATAAGAATTGCTTTTGGATCTATGAATGAATGCAGGACGGTGTGGGCAAACTTCAAGTATACGAATTTGCATATTATAATGTTAAGGTTTTTGTTTAGAATAGCGAATGCATGTTTTTTTTTAACGACTCTGTCGCCAACTGAGCTCGCGTTACGCAGGGGAATTAATCAATGTGCCATTGTCAAAGTGAAACCACGCAGTCGTTGATGATACTGTATTGATACTGTGTTGAAATTCCAAGATTGAGAGTTGTATCTTCTAGAGTTAAAGTTTAGTTAGAAATAAAATTGATTAACGCAGAAGTGTTGTGTGTTCTTTCCTGAAATTTATGCATAAGAACTGTATTCTGCGCTGAGATCTGAACTTGGAGACCTGGCTGAACACACTAACACATACTCAGTAAATGTTAAAGCGAGAATAATTGTATTATACCCATCGATAATACGAAGTTAAACAACGAAGCCGAGTTTAATCTAACATGCTTACAGTACCTGCATAACTGCATACGATTAATTGCATTATCCCGATTGATAACCGACCCTCGTCAGCGAGGCAGGGCCTAATTATCATAACGGCCAGCATTAGCATAATCACACACTCACATAAATTAATACAATTATCTCCCGAATTAGCATAATTGATATGCATAATTACACACATTAACAGAAGTTCGGATAATTACGCATTTTTTTATTTTTTATTATTTTCATCAAATTTTCATAACCTACATATACAACAAATTGGTGGCATCGTCCGGGATCTCTCGCAGACAGTTTATGCTTAAATTAAGGAACGAATCACGGTTGTGTTAACCAAGGTATTATGAACTAACATTGCCCTGTGACTGTAAACGGATGTAAAACAAACAACAAACGTGCTCTGAAGTGGAATTCCAGAGTAACTCACGCCGCACATGAGATGTTAGAATTAAGATACACCCTTAAGGCTATGAACTACACTACATATTAGATGTGGCACAGGATCCACAACATTCTGAGTTTGACACCCCAACGCATACCACCGACACAGAGGGGATCTCCCAGGAGGAGATGGAATCTATGGAAAAACGATATCGTGAACTTGTGTTAAAACGTACTGGCTGGACTGCTAGAGAGCAGACAGAGCAGAGAGACATATGGGAGGGAAGACATATCGAGGACATTAAGGAACATCGGGGGAAACTACTTAAGGACGTGATAAAATGTAGCAAAGCCGAACGTGATGTAAAAATTGCAGAAATAGCAAGGTTAGACTCACATCTCCTCACACAGACAGAGAAAGATTATGGAATGAGGAAACATTTGAAAGAGAATCGGCGCTAACTGCACCAACGAAACCTCCAGACGTTGATACACATAACACATACGGAATTAACAGTTTACCACACTCCGAGCCACACGGACGTAGCCCAGGGACAGATCCCACAAAAAGTATGGCTACCAATCAAAGCAATTTTGATAAAGAAACCCCCTCGCAACTCAATAGAAGGGAAGGAGAAATATGGATAAAAACGGAAAAACATGGGGATGACAACCTCGAAGTTAGAGGGAGACAAAAAGCAAACAAAATTGCCAGGGTATGCAGTACGAATAGCACCAAAAGGAGTGGAGCAAGGGCGGAACAAACGACAGCTCACCAGAAAGACGCACGCTACGCAAGTATAACCGACATGATGCAGATGACAGAGACAGCTCACTAGGAAGACACATTCCACGCAAGCACAACCGACGTGGAACCTACAGCAGGGATCACTCTCCAGAGGGACGCACGTCACGCAAACATGACCAAGCAGATACAGATCATTCAGACAGCTCACCCGAGAAACACACATAACGCAAACATGACGAACATGACACGGATAGCAAAGACAGCTCCCCAGAGAGACGCACGGTGCGCAAAAATCACCAACGCAAAACAACCCGCACCACAGATGACCGACACAGGAATCCCTACAGTCACAGAGCACGGGACCAACATAAATACACCGCATCACCTAGCAGACATCACACACGCAGTGGACGGTATGAAGGTCAAGGGCAAAAACACTCACCACATAGACACCGGTCAAGGAGATCACGCACACCAACCCACAAGCACGGATCACAAGATCCACACAAGAAAAACAAAGGGCACAAGTCACGGGACAGATACGGATCCTCGGACAGAGGGAGATCACGACACAGACAAGGAAAACATGACAGCAGTGATAGCAGAGACAGAGACAGCTCAAGTGAGCACTCATCAGGAACAGACGCCACTGACGACGATCAACACACTTTCAACAGTAAAACCCTCAAGCTAATGGACAAAGCGCTCGTGAGGATTCCCTATTTCGATCCACACAACAAGAACAGGGATATACACACTCACATAGCTACAGTAGGACAGGAGGCTAAGATCCGGGTTCTGGGTAAATCAGCAGAAAAAGCGTGTTTATTATCAAGGAGCCTACATGAACCCGCCAGACCATGGGTAACATCCCTGCCAAATAGGGTCAAGAGTGATTTCAAACAATTGAGCCGAGCAGTCGTTAAGAGATTTGGGGAATACTCCACACTATCCGAAGTATTGAATGCGGCAAAATTGATGACTCAGCGTGCAGACGAAGACCCACAAGATTATCTCCTACGCCTCAAGAGAGCATATTACGCAGGTGACGTGGACAACGCCCAGAAAGAAGGGAAAATATTAAAAGTTATGTTCTTCCAATCACTAAGACCTGAAATAATGAGAATAGTAGGAATGATGCTGGACCCCGAGACTGCCTCCCTGCGCCAGATTGAAAGCAAGGCCCACACGGCCTGGGTGAACGGCCGGAGGACCACGAACATAGCCAAAACACACGTCACCAAAGATAAAGAATGCCTTGACCTGGAGGGAAGCGAATTTCCAAGAAATAATAACAGCACCACACGGGATGGACATGAAAAGGGTGCCAAATCCACTAGAATCAACACCCATCAACAACACGCTGAATAACGTTCCACGTGGGGAGAGAAGCGAGGCAAGAGGGACCTGGCACCCACGGCCGCCACAGCCATGGAATACAGAAGAAGGCGGATCTTGGAACTATGGAGGAGGGAGAGCAAGTGACGGATCATACCTACCCCGCGGAGGCCGACGCCCACCGAACCAATCACCATATCGTCTCCCACTGCCGCCTCCACTAGCAATAAAGCATAAACCACAGTCAGCCAACAGGAATCGATACGCTCACTGCATTTGGATTGGAAGAG